TTTGTTATTTATGCATGAAGCCTCATAATCTGTATGTGCTGTAGTTATTTGCAGACTTTCTCCATTTAAATAATATTCAGTTCCTCCATTCTACCTGCCAAAGTGCATTGCCTCATGTTTTTCACATTATATTCCGTCTTTCAGGTTTTTGCCCACTCACTTAACCTATCTCTCTCTGCAGACAATTTGTCATCCCAAGCACTTGCCTTCTCACCTATTTTTGTGTCATCTGCAAACTTGGCTTTAATACTTTCACTATCCTCATCCCAGTCATTAATATATAAAAATACATATTGATTGCTGTGGCATTCCACTCGTTACAGGTTGCTATCCTGAAAATGTAACCCTTATCCGAACTCTATCTTCTCTTGGTTAGCCAATCCTCCATCTATGCTTTTATTATTAATGCAGTCTTGAGATGTGGGAATTGCTGCTGGGCCAACATTTATTGTCCATCTCTTGTTGTCTTTGTGAAGCTGGTGGTAAGTTGCCTTCTTGAACCACTGCAGTTCTTGTGTTATAGGTAGATCCACAATGCCATTTGAGAGGATTTCCAGGATTTTGACCCAATGACACTTGAAAGAACAGTAATAGATCTCCAAGTCAGGCTGCTGAGTGACTTAGAGGGAATATGCAGATGTTGGAGTTCCTATGTATCTGCTCTCCTGGATGGCTAAGATCGTGAGTTTGGAAGGTGCTATCTAAGGAGCATCAGTGAATTTCTACAGTTTATTTTGAAGATGATACACACTGCTGCTACTAAGCATCAGTGGTTGAGGAAGTGGATGTCGTGCCATCAAGTGGACTGCTAGGCTTCAGGCCTCATCTTGAATGTTATGGTACTGCAATTATCCAGGCACATGGGGAGTATCCCATCACATTACTGACTTGTGCCTGCTAGTAAGGCTTTGGGGTGCTAGGAGATGAGTTACTAACTGCAGAAATCCTAGCCTCTGACCTACTTTTGTACCTACTCTATGTATATGGCTGGTCCAGTTCAAATTCTGTTCAATGGTAATACCCAGGATGTTGACAGCAGGGGGTTCAGTGATGGTAATAGCATTGAATAATAAAGTGTACTGGTCATTTTCCTCTTGTTGGAGGTGGTCATTGCCTGGCATTTATATGGCATGAATGTTATTTGCCACTTTTCAGCCCAAGCCTAAATACTGTCCCAGTCTTACTGCATTTGGACATGGACTCTTTCAGGATCTGAGGAGTCATGAATGGTGTTGAACATTGTGCAATTATAAACAGACATTCCTGCTTCTGACCTGATGATGGAGGGAAGGTCATTGATGAAGCAACTGAAGATGGGCTTAGGACACTATCCTGAAGAACTCCTGAAGAGTTGTCCTAGAGCTGAGATGACTGCACTCCTGACAAACACAAGCATCTTCCTATATGCCAGGTATGACTTCAACCAGTGGAGAGTTTTCCCCTTTAATCCCGTTAATCCCGTTGATCCCTATTGATTCCAGTTTTGCATGGAATCCTTGATGCCACACTTTGTCAAATGCGGCCTTGATGTCAGAGACAGTCAATCTCACCTCTCTTCACCTCTGAAATTCAGCTTGCTAGTTCATACTTGAAACAAGACTATAATGAGATCAGGAGCTGAGTAACCCTGGCAGAAGCTGAGCATTAGTAAGCAGGCTATTGATGGCACCTTCTATGACTTTACTGATGATAGAGTGTAGAGAGATCGGGCAGTAATTTGCTGAGTTGGAATTCTCATTTTTTGTGTACAGGTCATACATGGGCCATTCTCTACATGGTTGGGTAGTGTTGTAACTGCACTGGAACGGCCCAACTAGGCTAGTGAAACGTCTGTAGCGCAAGTTTTCAGTACTATTGCCAGAATGTTAGGGCCCGTAGTTTTTGCAGTATCCAGTGCTGCTTGATATCATGTGTTTGAATCAAATCAGTTGAAGACTAACACCTGTGATATTGGGGACCACTGGAGGAGGCCGAAATGAATCATCTATTTTGCACTTTTGGCTGAGGATTGTTGTAAGTGCTTCAGCCTTATTGTTTGTACTGATGTGCTGGACTCCACCATCATTGAGCTGTTTTATTGTTCACCACCATTCACGACTAGATGTGGCAAGACTGCGGAGTTTAGATCTGATCCGTAGGTTGGGGAATCACTTAGCTCAGTCTGTCACTTGCTGCTTGTGCTGTTTGGCACATGAATAGTGCTGTTGTGTAGATTCACCAGGTTGACAACTCATTTTTAGTTGTGCCTGGTGCTGCACCTGCCCTCCTGCACTCTTCTTTGAACCAGGATTCATTCCCTGGATGGATGGTAAAGGTAGAGTGGGGCATGATGTTGCAGATTGTGTTGGAGTGCAATTCTGCTGCTGCTGATGGTCCACAGCATCTCGTGGATGCCCTGCTTTGAGTTGCTAGGTCTATTCAAAATCTATCCCATTTAGATGTTGATAGTGATACAGAACATGTAAGATATTCCCAGTGTGAAGGGGGGGGATCTTTACAAATATATGTTCAAGGACCAAGAGTAGGTTGCTGATCCCTTCAAGCCTGCTGTGCCATTCAATAAGATTGTGGCTGATACATTTTTAACCTCAATTCTACCTTCCTGCATATCTCCAACAATCTTTCATCTCTTTGATCATCAAGAATTTGAGTACTTCTCTGTCAAGAATATTTGAAGATTCTGCATCTGCTGCCTTTTGAGGAAAGGAATTCCAAAGACCCTCAACCCTCTGAGAGGAAGAAAAAGTTTCCTCATCTCTGCTTTAAATGGGTGACCCCTTATTTTTAAATTATGACTCCTATTTCTAGATTCTTCTGTAACAGGAAACGTCCTTTCCGCATTCACCTGGTCAAGATCTCTCGGGATCTTGTATGTTTCAATGAAGTCACCTCTGACTCTTTGAAACTCCAGAGATTCAGGTCTAGCTTTTTCTCACAGGCAATCTGCTCATTCCAGTGTTAGTCGAGGAAACCTTATCTGAGTTGCTTCCAATGTGTTAAATATGGTGACAATACTGCACGCAGTCTCTCAAATGCTTTGTATAATTGAAGCATTACTCCTCACTCTTGCATTCAATTCCACTCTCAATAAACATGACATTTTATTATCTTGCCTGATTACTTGCTATACCTTCATACTAACCTGACATGATTAATGCATGAGAGGATCCCGATCTCTCTCTATCTCAAGGCTATGCAATCTCACCATTTGGATAAGATGCTTCTTTTTTGTTCTTTCTGCTAAAGTCCACAATTTTGCACTTTGCCACATTATGCTCCATTTGCCAGACCTTTGCCCAGTCACTTAACTTATCTACATTCATTTGTAGGCTTATGTCCTCTTCTCAACTTATTTTCTACCTATCTTTGTGTCATCAGCAAATAGCTAACATTCTTTTGTCCCTTCATCCAAATTGTTATATAAATTGTAAAGAGTTGAAGCCCCAGCGCTGACCTCTGTGACACACGACTCATGACATTCTGCAATCCTGTAAAAGACCCATTTATTCTTATTCTCTGCTTCCTGTTTGCCAACTATTCTTGTGTCCATGCCAATATGTTACGTCCAATATCATGAGCTTTTATTTTCCGTAATAACTTTTGGTGTGGCATTTTACCAAATGCCTTCTGGAAATCTAAGTACAATACATCTACTCACCCTTTATCCACAATGCATTACTTCTTCAAAGAACTCCAATAAATTAGTTAAATATGATTTCCTTTGACAAAACTCTATCTGATTACCTTGAACTGATCCAAGTGCCCTGTTATAACTTCTGTAATAGCTTCTAACATTTTCTCTATGACAGGTATTAAGCTAACTGATCTGTAGTTTCCTGCTAATATTAATTTAATTAACAGAGGCATTCCACTACTCTTTCCTAGCTTTCTGTCCTTTCTAAATGTCACATACCCTTCAATATTCAAATGCCAACCTGGGGCATCCTGCAGCCACATCTCAGTTATGCCCACTAGATCATACCTATTTATCTTAATTGTACTACTAGTTCATCTGTTTTGTTTTCGATGTTACCTGTACTCAAATACAGTGCCTTAAATTTTGTCGTCTTATAGTTTTTGTACCCTCTTGTCTTATCTGTTGATTAACTCTTAAATCTGCATTCTCTCCTTTCTTGACCTTGCCTGTTTATCATTTCACTCATTAACTCCTGCCTCTGTCGCACTTTTCCCACTCTGATTTACCACAACTGCTCAGATTTGGGCCCTTGCCCCCACTTGGTCCCCACAAAGACTGTTCAGTGGTCATTCTTACCAGTACTGTCTTGAATGTGTCTGTAGTAGGCAGAGGTCACGTATGTTTTGTCCTCTTGTCGGTTCCCTTACCACCAGCAGCTATGTCCTTTAGAACTCAATCAGCTTGATCAGTACCATTCCCTGCCGAGTGCCCCATTGGGAGTACTTTTTGTGTCTTTGCTACCCTCAGTGCATCCTGCAACTGGTGCTCAACATAGAGGAGTACTGAAGTACAACATATTAAACTGGGACAGTAGGATTTAAAAAAAACTGAGTATCTTGTATAGCACTTTACATGATTTAAGGCTTTTACGAAACTCTACCCACATGATTATGTGCTGTTCCGGCACTGTTGGGTGAAGTTTGTACTATCCTACGCCTACGCTCAGGGCAAAGGAATTATTTATATGAAGAGTGAGGTGTAAAGATGTTGTGGACAATTTTCCATCATGAATGTTTCCTAATTTACATGTGCTAAGGGGAGTGATTTGCATTTACTGAACGAGTGAGACATAGGGGTTATTCTCTGCCTGTGCGTTATGTGTGATAGCTTTCATTTAATCTAAATGACCAACGTTTCAACTAGCTGAATGCAATTTCTTTGCTGATCTGCGTTCATCATTCAGCAGAGTGGATTACATTTGCTGACTGACTGTAAATCTGTATTGATGTCATTGTGGTGGTAATGACATTGCACAGAGGTTTGGTTTTTTTTTTAATTCATTAGTCTTGGTTTGTTTCAACAGTATTGTCTCGCAGTAAACCTTCACCTAGGAAAAGAGAAGGGGGCAGAAGACCTGCTGAAAAAGGTACAAACCAAACATGCTTAAAATTCATCCAGTTGGTTTAAATCAACTTTATGCCAAAGAGAAATGTTATAAATCCCTTTATTCATTCATGGGATGAGGGTGTCACTGGCTAGGTAGCATTTATTGCCCATCCCTAATTGCCCAGGGGGCAGTTAAGAGTCAACCACATTGCTGTGGGTCTGGAGTCACGTGGTTCTGGAGTCACGTGGTTCTGGAGTCAAATGATGCTGATATGTCAGTTGGTGCCAAACAAAACTTTGAGTCGTTGGATTTCACAGAGGGCAGTAATCTGTATAGCATGGGGAGGCGTTGGCCTAGTGGTATTATACCGCAGGACTGTTAATCCGGGGACTCAGGTTCGAATCCCACCACGGCAGATGGTGGAATTTGAATTCAATAAAATATCTGGAATTAAGAATCCAATGAATCAACCATGAATCCATTGTTGATTGTTGGGAAATCTGGTTCACTAATGTCCTTCAGGAAAGGAAACTGCCATCCTTACCTGGTCTGGCCTACATGTGACTCCAGACCCATAGTAATGTGGTTGACTTTCAACTGCCCTCTGGGCAATTAGGGATGGGCAATAAATGCTGCCTAGCCAGTGGTGCCCTCATCCCGTTAATGAATTAAAAAAAAAAGTGTCGAGAACTGCAGAAGTGAGTATTGGAAAGTGGGAGTCTCGTGGTCTAGTCAGACCTGACTGGGTAGTGTGCTGGAAGTCAAGCCCTGCTTTCTTAGATTTATCACAACAGTTAAAGACAGACACAAAAACAACAAAGCTCTGAAGAATGATCACTAGACCTGAAACATTAACTCTGCTTTCTCTCCACAGATGCTGCCAGACCTGCTGAGTGTTTCCAGCAATTTTTACTTTTGTTTCTGATTTCCAGCATCAGTGGTGTTTTTCAGTTTCTTTTTTGGATGAAAAACAACATTGATGTTATGGGTAGAGAGAAAAACTGGAAAGGCAGTCTAATGGTTTTTGTCCAAAGGATTAACTGAGATTATCCTTTTGGCTTGTCAGTACTTGCAGTTTGTCGATTTCATTCTCTCTCTTTAAGTGTTTTTCACTTTCTTACAGAGAGATAGAGCAACTGGTTCACAACTTATATATGACTTATTAGTTAAGATCAACACCTTACAGCTATTGGTGAGGAAAATTAAACTGACTTTCTTCACATTTTAGTGTTTTTTTCAGTATGGAGGCAAAGATAGCACTTTTCTTTCTGGAGGTCTGAAGGCTTCTCCCTATCTTGTTCACTCCCACAAGCTGCTCAGCCATTTGAGGGCCAATCCCATCATGTTGGCAGGCAGCAGGCTTTAGTCATCAATAATTGGTCATCACTCTTCAAACCAATCAGCTACTTTCTAATGGCCAAATCTCATTTTGTGCAGACTCCCTGGCTCCAGCTCATCTGCAACAGAACTTGCCCCACTGGCTGAAAAAACAACAGTGTAAACAGCACTCACAGTGAATACTGGCAGCTTGTTTTTAAAAAGTGCAGCAATCTCTTCCACAGTCCTGGGTTTTTAAAACAGTCCTTTTCCCACGTCAGCTCCCAACTAAAAATACAGAAAAGTAAAAAGATACAATCTGTTCACCAGTGTCCTGGATGCATATACAGAGCGATGTTAAAGCAAACATGATTAAGTGTGAATCATGCAACATCTAAAGGAATTTTGCTTGATCCAACATTCTAGTTTGTTCTCAAAAGTGTAATTTTCTAAAAGAGCATACTCAACCATACTGCACTGGATTAAGACCCACACCATTTCCGTTATTAAATGTTTAATATTTCCAACATGTGCATTTTGTAGAACGGGGCTTCCCAAAGTGGGGGCTGAGGACCCCAAATTTTGGCAGCAGTGGCTGCTGTGGATGTCTGTACCTATTCCGCCCTCAACCACCCACCTCTCAGATTTTCACTCCCAAACTCTTGACTCCCCTACTATCATAGGCTTTCTCATTTGTCTTTCTCTCCAGAGCTTCATCACCTTTCTCCCCTCCCACTCCACTATCTGCACAAACACACACCCTCTCCCCAGTCTCAGTTCTCACTAGGGGTTGGTGACCATCTTCAAGCTCAAAATGAAGTCATGGTGGAGAAAAAGTTTGGAAAGTTCAGTTGTTGGATTTACGTTTTGCTTTGGATTTAATGATTGCAGGTACAGAGTTTGTTTTCTGATGGAGTAGGAAAGAAAACAGAGATGCAGTAGCTTTGCAGAATAGGGGGTTCAGTGAAAGAATTGAGAAACAATGAACGTAAAGGTCACGCAAACCTGCCATCTGGCTGAAGACGGAAGCATCACCTTGTAAGGCAGTTGAGTTGTAGAGTTGCACATCTAGGAACAAGCATAATGTGGTATTGAGTGTAAAATACTTGGGCAAAGACAGGATGGGCACCTTTCTGTTGACTTCATCCCACTTCTGTCAAAAACTATCCAAGATTTTTGGTGGTTAGTACCTACACGAAGTCAGTTGTGTAATTTTTTTTCTCAATATTACTCAGAGTAATTTTGTTTTAAAAGCAACATAAGGCACACTAGACCCGAAATGTCAGCTTTCCTGCTCCTCTGATGCTGCTTTGCCTGCTGTGTTCATCCAGCTCTACACCTTGTTATCTAAGGCACATAATAATTGCTTTCACATAGTGATTTGTACTAATTTTGCATTTAATAAGTTGTGATTGCATCGTGTATGTTTGGAATCTCATTTCAGTTTTGGAACCTCTTCAGTTGTTTAGCGGTGGGAGTCCGGGAGAGAGTGCGAGGGCAGGCTGGGAAGGTAAGCTTTAGTTATAAAGTCTTACCTCGCGTGACTGCAGCCTTCAGTTGTTCAGCGGAGGAGGAGTCCCAGACGGGCACGAGTGGTCGGCTGGGTAACGGTTATCTTTCACCCAATAAATTTGGGAAGTAACTAATACCGGAGACACTACACATGTAGTGTCTCCCACCCTTCCACCTCCTCTAACCTAATAATAAAGACTAAGTGTGGTGAGCAGGTAAGCTATTTGCATTTTTTTCTCATCTCTTTGTTATCTTTTGGGGAGGTCACCTGGACGCCTAATCCTCTGGGAGCGGTTCGGAAGGGAAAGCCGGAGTCTGTTTGAGTATATAACGGACTAAACTTAGTGGTGCAGAGAACACTTAAAGAAAGAACACTGCGAAACTAAAAAAAAAACTAATTAATTTTAAATAATTAACTAAGTAGAGATGGCAGGCCAGGTGATGTGTTGTAGCTGTATGATGTGGGAGCTAGCTGATCCCATTGAGAACGGCAGTGACCACATCTGCAGCAAGTGTTGGCTGCTTGAGGAGCTCCGGCTCAAAATTGATGAGCTGGAATCCGAACTCCAAACACTGCGGCACATCCGGGAGGGGGAGAGATACCTGGATGCTGTGTTCCAGGAGGCAGTCACACCTAGTAGATTAACTAATGTTAATTCAATCAGCGGCCAGGGACAGCAGTGTGTGACTGCGAGTGAGGCAGGTAGAGGGACCCTGCAGACAGGAACACAGGAGCCGCAGCCCTTGACATTATCCCACAGGTATGAGGCACTTGCTCCCTGTGTGGATGAGGAACAGGGCTGGAAGGAAGGATGAGTCAACTGACCATGGCACCATAGTCCAGGAGGCCATTCAAGAGGGGGGAGCTAAAAGACAGATTGTAGTTGTAGAGGATTCCATCATCGGGGGGATAGACAGTATCCTTTGCAAGCAGGATAGAGAATCCCTCATGGTGTGTTGCCTGCCCGGTGCCAGGGTGTGAGACATCCCTGATCAGCTTGAGAGGATACCAGAGAGGGAAGGGGAGGATTCAGTTGTTGTGGTCCACGTAGGTACCAACAACATAGGCAGGTCTAGGAAAAAAGACCTGTTTCGGGATTATGAAAAGCTAGGAACAAAATTAAAAAAACAGGTCTTCAAGGGTCATAATCTCTGGATTGCTGCCCGAGCCACATGCAAATTGGCATAGGGAGGTGAGGATCAGGGAAGTAAACACGTGGCTAAAAGAGTGGTGTGGGAAGGAGGGTTTCCTTTTCATGGGGCACTGGCATCAGTTCTGGGACAGGAGGGATCTATATCATTGGGATGGACTCAACCTAAACAGGGCTGTGTCCAGTGTTCTGGCGAAAAGGGTAAATAGAGTGGTCAATAGGACTTTAAACTAGTAAGTAGGGGGGAAGGGAGGAGTGAGCATACAGGGAGTACAACAATTAATGTAAGGCAAAGCAGCAGGTTAGCAGGTGACGAGGAAGCTTCAACTCCATTGAAAATTAGGAGAAAAGGTAAAGGGAAGGGGAACTCAACAGCTGTTAGTAACGGAGGTAATAGGACCCAAAAAGAAGGTGTAAAAACTGGCCTAAGGGCACTTTATCCGAATGCTCGGAGCATTCGAAACAAGGTGGATGAGTTGACGGCGCAAATCATGGCAAATGGGTATGATTTAGTGGCCATTACACAGACATGGTTACAGGATGGTCATGACTGGGAGTTAAATATCCAGGGGTATCAAACTGTTCGGAAGGACAGACAGGAAGGTAGGGGAGGTGGTGTCGCTCTGATTTTTAAGGATGATATCAGGGCGGTAGTGAGAGATGATGTAGGTTCTACTGAACAAAAGGTTGAATTCATTTGGGTGAAAATTAGGAATAGCAGGGAGAAGAAATCACTGATAGGTGTGGTCTATAGGCCACCAAATAATGACATTGTGGTGGGGCGGGCAATAAACATAGAAATAGCTAATGCATGTAAAAATGGTACAGCAATTATCATGGGGGATTTTAATCTACATATCGATTGGTCAAACCAGGTCGGTCATGGCAACCTTGAGGGGTTCATAGAATGCATCCGCGATAATTTCCTTGAACAATATGTAATGGAACTTACGAGGGAGCAAGCTATCCTAGATCTAGTCCTGTGTAATGAGACAGGAATAATTAATGATCTCTCAGTTAGGGATCCTCTCGGAAGGAGCGATCACAGTATAGTCGAAT